ACCGGCTCTGTAACATAAGCAAAAATACATTACGATGTTCATATAGAATGTGAAAATCAACTTGAACTTTCCAAGGTATTTGCTAGCTAAAAAATATATACTATATATATAATCACATATATACAAAAAAAAATATTTATCTATTATTATTTTTGGGAGCGGTTAAATATATATATTAAAGTGGTATAATTTTACTCGGGTTATATCCGACATAATTTTAATTTGACATAACTTTATAAATAATTGAGACAACCCTCACAAATATATCAAAGTACAATAGTGAAAAAGTAATACTTTTTGGAGGTAATTTAAAGATGGACAACTATATGTTTTACTTTTGAGATGGAGAAGCCAAAGTTATAAAAGGAAATATGACACCAAAAAAGACCTCTATAAAGAAGTTTTAGATATGATACTACCACACTGAATATTTATACACTATAAATAAGATATTACTTAACTTAATTAAATTGATCGTCTTTGTAGGTTAAGACGATATCATTTTTAATTCAAGTATTCTATTAATGTAATAACATTAATGTTTAGCATTTAAATGATTGTTGTATTTTTATCACGCTAATTACTTTACAATGATCATATCATCTTATAAATAATTTGTTATTAAATTTAGTTAGTCGTTCTTTCACACAAAAGTTCTGACTAAATATTTACGTGCAACGCATGTACATAGTAACTAGTTAATTAAAAAAAACCATTATCCATATTCGAAAAGCAATTTTTTTTTGTAAAAATTGGAAAAAAACTGATTTTTTTTTTTACTAAAAACTGAAAAAAACAGAAATATTTTTTTTTCAGTTTTTACAAAAAGATTGCTTTAAAAAAAACTGAAACATATTTTCTAAAGCAATGTTTTTATTTAAACTGAAAAGTAATTTTCTAATGCGTGTAAAAACTGGAAGAAACTGAATTTGTTTTTAATAAAAACTGAAAAAAACGAAAATATTTGTTTTTTCAGTTTTTACAAAAATATTGCTTTAGCAAATTGCTTTTCAGTTTTTTTTTCAGTTTTACAAAAAAATTGCTTTAGAAAATATTTTTCAGTTTTTTAAATCAATTTTTTTGTAAAAACTGGAAAAAAATATTTTCGTTTTTTTTTTAGTTTTTAGTAAAAAAGATTTCAGTTTTTTCTAGCTTTTATACGCTTTAGAAAAATGCTTTTAAGTTTTTACAAAAATATTGCTTTAGAAAATAGTTTTCAGTTTTTTTTAAAGCATTGTTTTGTAAAAACTAAAAAAAAAATATTTTCGTTTTTTTTTTAGTTTTTAGTAAAAAAAAAAATTAAGTTTTTTCCTGTTTTTACAAAAAAAAATTGCTTTAGAAAATTGCTTTTCAGATATGGGTAATGAGTCTTTTTAATTAATTAGGAGATATTTAGGTTTGGCCAATAGGACGATGACACGTGTCCCTCCATTTAAATGAGCAGTATATTTGAACCCAAAGTATAGCGGCATGGGTATATTTGGATTCAAAGTATAACGAAGGATAGATATGAACAATATAACAAAGTAGAGGGGTATATTTGGCCCTTTTTTCCCTAAAAAAAAATTAGTAGGGTAAAATAAAGTGGGTAGGGGCTGGTAAATACTTTCCGCCCCATGGGTATTTGCTAAACAACCCCTTAAACTTATTCATGTGATGATTACTCAAATCACAATCTTCTGCAAACACAGAAATTAAGTTAAGCCCGTTTTTAACCCAATAAAGAACTGCTGGAAAGGAAAATGTGTTCTCTTCTGACTTAAAATTTCATGCTTATGTCCCATTTTAAAGTTTCTTGATTACTTATATATTTATTCTTGAAATAACTAGTGCAAAAAAAAAAAATTGACTTATTATTTGTAGAAAAAATAAAAAATGGTAAAAAATTACTCGCATAATATGATTATTTACTTGCATTAGATGTTTACACCAAATCAATAAAAATATAATATGTATTTGCACGTAGAGTTCTATAACTTAATTATAGTTACTTAAATTTAATTGGTTTGATATAAAGTTCATATACCAATAAATATTATTCGAACTAAAGTTGGATTAGAATTCTTCTCTTTCTTTATATTGGGAAAACGACATGATCTCATACACAGATCTAGGCTTTTAACTTTATGCGTTCAACTTTTAAGATTTTTAGCATTGAACCATTATATTTTTTTAGTTATGGGTTCATGTTTACTATTTATTACAATTTTAGCGAAGTTTTATACATAAATTTAAGTTATGGGTTCAGTTGAACCCGTATACATCCGCCTCTGGGCATAATCCTTGCTACTTGCCATATATATATAGAAAAAGTTTACTGGAAAGTGTACTCATTTTTTCGAAAGTGAATATTCTTTGACCTTTTCTCTCGGGCAAATTAAAGGGTGTTTAAGTATTTTCGCATTGACTATCAAGATTGTGATAGGATGATGCTGGTGTACACCAGAGGAAAACAACAAAAGGTATTTTTAACCAGTATTTTTAGATTAATAATTGGCAGGTTAGTTCAATATTTGTAGTTTCTCACTAATTCTTTACTTGGTTACTCTTAAGGATTTCTAGCTTATTATTTTTATCCTATTACTCTCATTATTTTTATTTTGTAGGATGACTAAAAACTTTAAACAACTTCAAAAGTTTGGCAACACTATAATTCTACATTTAAAAGCGCCAGTACTACATGTGAGTCGGTTGGTGCAACAACTGGAAGACAATGGTTTATAATTATTACTTCGAAAAATTATTTTTGTTATAAATTGTTAGAAATATAATGCACAGTTTTTTCTTTCCAAAATACCACAAACTGTTGAAATTATCGTAACATCTTACGTTAAGACAGTCCAGAGGTCAATGAAAATATGTCAAATACGTTACAAGATTAATTAATTTTGTAGGTGTGTGAATGATAATCATCATTTCCAATGATTGAGATTACGTTAATTTTAGGTACAGAAATCATATAAGAGAAGCATCTTCTGTTCTAAGTATGATTTCCAACTCATTCATTGCACCAAATCTTGGCGTTGGATTCCCTATTCTTTCTTCAGTCAATGATCATAACTTGTAATCAGTTTACAGTTTTCATCCACATGGGATTTCTAAGTTTGATATATTTATTTATTATCTGCAGATTTATTCAGTATGGGATTTAAGTAATTTATGTTGATACACAATCCTTGCATTTGATTTAAGCATTTGAAGGCTTCTGCTTTTAGGTCTAGAGCTAACTAAATCGGATAAAATTTAGTGCACCTCAGAATTTCCACCTATTTTCTTATTTGTGTATTTAATCAAGTATTATAAGAATAAATCTAAACATTATACTAGTTTGATAGTTGAAAACTTACCCTTATTATCTCTTAAGATAAATTGTAATCCAAATTTAGGTTATTTTGAAGATTTCTCGTGAATCTTTCCATATTTGACCACTCTAATACCTTGTTTGGCCAAACTTCTAAAATTTGCTTATTTTGATAAGCGATTTTTTCAAAATTGCTTTTCAGAAAAGTACTTTTGGTGAGAATCAGTTTGTGTTTGACTAATTAATTTAAAAATTACTTTTGAGCAGTAATTAGTGTTTGACCAAGCTTTTAAAAACTGCTTCTAAGTGTATTTTTCTAAAAAGTGCTTCTTAGAAATAAGCTACATTTTTCTGCTTCTCAAAATCTGTTTCTCCAAAAAAAAAAAAAAACATTTGACAATTTTTTTTAGCCAAACTGGCTATAATAGTTATAGGATAAAGTGTTCAGTAAAAGATAGGCCAGGGGAGGAAACAAAAGCAAAAGAAAAGGAGCTTTTAGTTTTAGAGGGCGCATGCTTCTGCTATTTTGGAAAAAGCTAAAGAAATTGTGGACCTTTTGGGCTTTTCTACCAACAGATAATTGGCACGCCGAAATGAATTAGCACACTGTTTTACCGTCAAAAGTGACCCAATTTTAGCCTTTCAAGTCTCCCGAAACAACTTTCTGTCTTGTGATTTGAGGTCTATTTAATTATTCTTTTTAACGCCTTCAATTGTTATAGTTTTATACTTATGAAACCATATATTTATAAGTCGAAAACTTTTTTTTTATTTTTATTCTTACTGCATGTTACTCGTACCTTTTGACTAATATAATTATTTTTTAATTTGTATAACCGCATATCAAATACTGGTTTAGATTGAGCGTGAATCCTACTCTAGTCCCCTTGGGTTACAAGAGGTTTCTCTCTTCAAAGCTATTTTAAAACTTTGTACAAGTATGTTGATGTTATCACGAATACCAACTGCCGTTTTGGTTCTAAGTACACTCGATGTAATTTGATACAATGTCTCACCAATATTTTTCTCTATTTTTTCTCTATACTGGTTACACAGTAAATCATACTTAGATTACCATGCTTATTTAGAGTAGAACAATGAGCACGAAATTGGTTTGATCAAAGTATGCTGCTCCTCTTTGCCGTTGTGTAATATATATACACCTTGAGAGATCTGCTTTGATTTAACTGTGGTAGATCTTGAGAGATTGCAGTCCTAAGGGTATTGATCCTTGGAAGTGAATCATAATTGATTCCTTCCAAGAATAAGTGTGGAGCCTCCTTGATTTGAATCTTGACCGGCGGGCTTGATAGAACTTTCCATCTGCGAGTGAATCCCACTTCAACGAACAACTTTTGATTAGTCCTTTGATTTCGGAGTTTAACAGCTTTCCTTTTAGATGCGTATCTTAAGTTCTTCGGTGGTTATGATAGGCGAATTCTTAGTAGTCTTGAACTCCTTTAATTTTGGATCTTACTTTCTTTTCTTCCTTCGCTTGAGTTGTTAGGAGATCTTTTCCTTCTTTTCTTTTACTCCTCCCTTTCACGTCTTTCTACACATATCTTTGATAGTCTTGCTCGTCTTCCTTTGCTCCTGGATAGAGACATGTTATATTTCATTATTGAAATTTGGATCTAACAAATATGTTGCACGATAGTGGTCCAATATTTATTACGTACCATATAACATTATCAATTTTATAATTATTTTGTAGAACTTACCTTTTACTTTGATATGCATCTGCTACTAATTCTTTTGGCATAAAGAAAAAGAAGACAATTTATATATGTATCAAAATGTTTCATCCTTTTCCATCTCTCTACCTTTTCCATAATTCTGTTGAGCAGCTGCTTTTGACAATTTCGAATATTGGATTAAGGGTCTCATTAATATAGGATCTTCTAGCTTCCATGTGAAATTAGGGGCCACCAAGAAAGTACACCATTTCTTAACCACAACTTATACCATCTCATGACTAATCCTCTTTTTGAAAAATGAAAATGGAGAAGATATTAGTTATAGTTAGGGGCGTCAAACGGTCGGGTTGGGTAAGATACCAGCAGGTCGTAAACAGATAATTCAAAAATGGATAATTTATCCGACCCGACCCGACCCGTATTTGAGACGGATAAAAAATGGGTTATCCGGCGGATAATATGGATAACTATATTATCCATGGCTTCTTAATATGATCATTGTTAGGAGAATTCCTAGTCTACCAAACTTGAGGAACCCTCAATTTAAAGCTTTACGAATATAAAGGTTAAACACATTAGTTATCTATTTGGTTAACCATTTTCTAAGTGGATATTATGGTCTTTATCCATATTCGACCCGTTTTAAAAAAATTTATTATCCAACCCATTTTTTAATGGATAATATGAGTGGATAACCGTTTTATTTTAACTATTTTACCACCTCTAATTCTACTGTATAAGGGATAAAACTGCATCTATCAACACCGAACAAAACTTTTGGTCCAAACAAATGGTCATAGCGTTGGGAAAAGGTTTAGTCATTAGTCTGTTTCTTTTGATCTTCACTTGTCTAAGTACACTAGCACCTCACTATCAGACAGACAACTCATTTCAACCTTTTTTTGACTATGGCCTAACAATGAACATGCAATTGTTTGCTTTTGGACAACTAAATCAAAATTACAATAATGCTAACAACAATATCTTCATTTATCCCAAATTACTTTATTTGTATTGTCGAAACATGTCCTAATTAGTCACAAGTTTATTCTTGTGCCCTTCCAACCACAGTTCTTGGGAATTCTGAATTGCCCACGAGATAATTTTATTTTTTGGGTTCGTTGCTAGACGTATGAATTCTTTCTAATTGAATTAATATTTTAAAATTTTATCACATGGAAATTATACAACTTTGTAGTGGAGATTTCTTGTTTTGTGTGCTATGGTGCTATTTTTGACCTGATTTTTATGGAATTGGACTTTCTTCATAGTGGTTCTTGGCTGCCCCATGATCGGATATTTCTTTAATTTTTAACCATTATTTTTTTTAACCGGTATATATATAGAGAGATTAGGTGGACGACTATTAGGTTAATTCTTAGATTAATATTTCATTTTTCTGAGTGTAACAATCCCACTTGTACCATTTCATATTTCATTCTTCAATTAATTATGCGTGTATGTAAGTCAAACAACCCCACTTGTACTATTGACCCTAAAACTAACATTACTTTCAGTTAAATATGCTATAAAGCTATAAGTACCTTATTATGATGAGCAAAGTGGAGCCTAGTATCAGATTTGAAGGCATATTTAAAGCTACATTACTTTTACAACTGGAAATCCCCATGCCAGGGCTTAAAACACCTCAGTGGCAGACAATTTGCACATGCAACTCTTCCAAATGCAGAGACATAGGCAACTGCTTTGCTAAGGGAAAAAAAAAGTGAGTCGGATCGCGACGAATTCAGAATTTAGACGTTATGACTTCAGAATTTAGACGTAGACATTATGACTTCAGAATTTAGACGTTATGAGTTTTGAGTCAGGCAACTGCTTTCTTTTCTTCTATCCTTCCTAGTACTTTTAAAGTGAACAAGCAAACCATGAGATCAACTCTATAATAGTAACTTGAAAATGCAGGAAAGAGAGAAGAAGAGATTAAATAAGACAGAGAAGAAAGAGCAAAAATAAATTCTGTACAAATAACAAAAGTTTTGAATTTGTATTGAACTGAGCCACTTTGAACTAGCAGAAGGGTGATGAGTACACTAAACAATTATTACAGATTTGCTACTTGCACTATTTACAACCCCAATTCTGCGTGTGTTAGCTCTGAAACTCCAAGGTATATATTTCTAGATCCCATTTTGAAAGAAGCTCCATTGAGTATGAAAAAAGAATTTGAATGGCCTGTGTTGAATAATCAAAGCTACACGAACCCCGTTTCTCAAGTATCAATAACTTGCTTATCGTTGCCATCACCGATTGATGAACGATTTTCACTAGAATCAACTTCATTTACCCTACTTCCTTGCCCAGCATCGTTCTCACCATCCTCGGATACTGAGCTAATATCCATCTCCTTTTCTGGACTTTCAAGTTGCACGCACTCAGCAACTGCGTCCTGCACGGAACTATTATTTTCTGAATCGAGGCTTCTGTTTGATGGAGTCAAGTCTCCTTTCCTTACCACATTGAAGACAATACCGCTGTTAGTTCTTTCAGGCTGCAGAAGGTCACCTTCGCCTACCATAATGCTTGAACTACTCGCGGGGACCCTATAACTGAAATCTCTTTGATCGAATTCAGTATCTGAACTTCTATCAGGTGTTGTTACTCTTGGGCTCGGGGAGAAATGGTCCCTGCCTGCCATCTGAGGAACAATATTGTTGAGGTCAATAGTCAATCCTTTGTTCAATCGCGAACCGATTTCCAAGTTCTGGACAAAGTCAATAAACTTATCAGCTGATGTTGTCCTCATCAAAGGACCACCCGATCTTGTCCAAGAATTAAGGTCCACATTTTCCGGCTCACTGTCACTACCATCATGTGCATTCCGGTGTGTTCGCCAATTACGGTTAACATGCGCCCCTGAACCACTGCCTCCTTGATAATGTGAAGCAGCAACATCCACAAGAAAATCTTCGAGGGAGCCTGTTGAATTCTCTCGTGCAATGCAATTCCAAGAAGGAATTCTTCTGGAAGCGTTAAATCTAACAGTGCTTGCCAAGCCATGTGAAGCAGCAGCCGCTCTCTCGGCACTCCTTTTCAGTCTACGCATGTGGTTCAGTATAGCAACACATTCATCAAGTGCAAGCTCAATTCCACAGTTTGCTTTCATGGCTGAGAGTTTTTCCCAAGTGCACCTTCTTCCTTGATTTGCTGCCTTTTGCAGCTCCAGAGTAGACGGATTCTGTATGATTTTTGAGTACTGTATCACAAACAAAATTTGGGAAAAAGGTCAGTTATCAAGCCAACCTACAGTTCTTCATAGTAGAACTTATTTTGAAAAAAACAGAAATATTCTTATGAACATGATTTGACAATTCTCAACTAGAGTTCCACAAATTTGGGAACGGAAAGCAACTTTTAGACATTCACAGCAGAATCAGCTTAGACCAGATATGATATTTACCAAATAGCCTAAGGATAAATAGCTAATTAAGAGGGTTTAAATTAGCAAGTTTAAATAAGCTAATTATGACGGTTTAAAAAGCAGGGTGTGTGTGTGTTTAGATTAGCAAATGCTTTGACCTGAAAATATACAGAATAAACTACTAGTCAACCAGCATTTAGCATTCCCACTAGTGTTTTCAGTTCCATCGAGGCGATTATTTCCTATTCCATTCAACAGTATAGCAATCACAATATTTCTCAATTACACGAGTCGAATTGCTGATCACTCTGTAAGTTCAATGGGCTTTGTATTATAGCCATAAAAAATGAACTTCTTTTTTAGTTGCAAAAAGAAAAATTGCTCGTGGACATACCTGAGCTAGAGTGGCAGGCATTACTACAGTTACATCACCCTCCCATTCTTGAGCAAAAAGCTTTGCTAATCCTCCCAAAGGAAAACCAAGTTCTAATACCTGATTGCATCTGTGCTTCACCTCCATTTCAGTAAGTTGAGCAAGCTGCATGGCCAAATACTTGATGTTACAATGGCTCTGCTTAAATCTTTGTCTAAAAAACATATATAACAGCAAAGCTAGGAGCATGCAAGGATAAATTATGAACTAGCAATTATTAGTTACAACCACCAACGAGGACTACACAGCCTAAGCATTTGATGTCTAAACTCTAAACCGTAGAACTGGAACTGATTATACCTTGTGAAGACGTGATCAGTTGGTCCATGGAACAACGGCAATTTGGTTGGGTAGATTTATATTACATTCACGGTTATATATAGGTTCACAGACTAATTCTGTTACTCTAGCACCTAAAATATACTAATAAAGAGCATCAACAGATGAATCTTGCTTGATTACATTTTCACCACCACTTTGAGCTGCAAACTGATAGATGAATTTTCCAAGAAAAAGATCGTTTATTAGCAAACTGATCACTATGATTTACACGAACCCTATCCAGCATATGATTCGGCATATGATTCCTTAAAGTTAGTCACATCACCAATTTCAGTAGATGCTTGAAGAAGCTTAATGAGGGAGTAAGACTAGTTCCTTATCAGCATAAGTTTGAAGTCTACCTCCTTATAAAAAACAGAATAAGGCTTACTGCGGTTAGGCCTGAGCTATACAGCCCCTACCTATAGTTACAGAGTCGATTACTAGCTAAAACTAACTCAAGATACAACAACCACCGAAAGCATTTTAAAGTGCTCTAAAATTTTGTTGCAATGACACGAATACATGTACAAGAGATAGAGGAAGCATCAGCAAAGAGATCAAGACCATATCACGGAAATAGAAGTCCATACCTTGGCAGCAAAGTTGCCTCCATAAGCTCTTACAAACTCTTTGATCCTTAGTAGTGGAGCAATATGCGGATTCGCCTGGCTCACAATGAAGTGATTGACGTTGAAGAGTTCCTTTAGCTGCATCATTGGCAAATCAACCTCCAAGCTACCATCCCTCCACCGACGAGCAGATGCACCAGAAGCGGCATCAGGACCCAAATGAAATGGCGGGTGATACGGAACAAGATCTCCACTTCTATCCTTTGCCATAAGTTCTTGAGCTTCGAAGAGACCAGGAAAGGCACAAGAAGCGGTCACAGCACTCCATATAACAACATGAGGTGAAGTCAAGTAGTTCAAGCATCTAGGAGGTTCATGTTTCCTAGGCGAGCAAACAGTAATCCCCAGAACTCTACCAGTCATGTCATAGGCTTCT